GAAACGACATGAAACAGCGGCGATATCAAGTATCGTTATACGTACCGGTACTACGACACGGAAATGATACAGCGTTTAATCTCTCTGTAGAGCTAGTCTGCGGGTCTGGTTGCACGATTCCCGATCTGAAGAATCGTCCGTCACCGCCTTTACTGGAGAACGTGATTTAACTTTGGTATCGGAGGTGGGGGGGGGGGGCTAAAGACGGGATCGACTAGGTTTTTCTTTATCTCTCAACTACTTGTCTCCTCTCGCGTTAACGGTTCAGTAGCGACGTCGTTTTTAAAATGTCTGCCCGGCGGCAGAGCATGATAACGCGCGAACCTTATACCCGGGCTGAGAGTTTAGTCCGTGAAAAGGTGAAAAGATACTCCTTCACATAATACATTCCTCGACGTATTCACGTTATCCTCGAATCGTCGCGTTTCTCACAGTCTCGGAAACGATTGATAGACCGCGGACGTTTATGCAAACACGTGTTTTTTAAACAAACGAATATTCAACTGTTGATACTCGAAACTGTCTAATACATCGCATCGTTTCTACCATTGAGCTATATAAAATATCTGGAGTGTGCGCGGCTGTCAAAAGTCGTAGGATAGAAGAGTCGCGACGATGCTCCAAGAAGCGAGAAGCTATGGGGGATCTCTATCCTTCTTTTTATATTCTCTGTCTCTATTTGTATTATCTTGTAGTAAATTTAACTATGGCGAGGATAGAAGTTCAATATTCTATCGAATCACTTGAATTTATAACATTGTCAATCACTCGACATATACGCGTCCGAGTTCAGGTTCAAAAAACATGCATTATACACCTAAAAAGAGAAAGAGATTCCTTCACGGTTCCTCTTCGTCGGCGAACGTACCCCCCTCATTCGTTCACACTCCAGATGTTTTATATAGCTCAATGGTTTCTACACATTCAGCTTTCTTACAATTGCATAAAGTCCGCAGTCTAATAAGGAGTAATTTTTATTAAATGAGATTAAGTAACGACGCTGTCTTCCGGAACCCTTAACGCATTCTCTAGCTCCGCGCTACCTCTCCCATTTTTATGACTCGAAACCTGTGAAATACAGGGCTTGGGCATTGAAATTGACTCGGTTTCGTATCGAACTTGATCCCATCCTCTAATCAATAGGTGTTCGCTCGCTCGCTCGCTCGCAGGCTCGCTTCTTCTTCCAGTACTTATTTTTTTTTTAATATATATAAGGGAAGAGTAACTGTGTTCGTTTGACCTCCGTTCTGATCATTCACTTACACTCACGCAGAAGCAATCATTCTCTCTTCCTCTTTCTCTCCCTTTTTCCTTGATGCAATGAACTTCGTGTGTATATGCAATACGAAGCTAAAAAATATATAGTGCTGTGCATTGCGAGAACCGGACACGCGTAAGAGCAATCCTCAATTTCCGTATCGATTATTATTCAACATCGTCCGCCATTTTTGTTTTTTCTCTATTTCTTCTTTTGGCTATTCGTTTACTCGGTAAATCGAACGAAACGATGTTCCCTCTAATTTCTCTTGCGCTCGTATCGTTTCTATTCTAGCTAATCGCTAGTGGAATTGGCTCTACGCGTATCTAGTAAGCGAAGGCTGCATCACTTTTATGTTCGCTACGTCCTAGAGAACTACGTACGTGTTATCCCTATTCTCTGTTCTCTAATTCGCAACACGTTTTCTCTCCGTTCCGATCCGCCCCCTCAGTTTTCACTCGCAGTCAGCTTTGAGCCACACACGCGTCTCCTCGCATACGTATTTCACTCTTTTACAGCATAGTTTAGTTAGATAATCGTCCAGCTATCTCCTCTCCCGTCGATCTTACAATCAGCGCCACTTCTACTTTTCTTCCTTCCATTTTCGCCCATTATAAGCGTCATAATTCAGGATGGGACGTTACGTTTTACGAAAGCTTATACCGTAAGGACAGAGTCCATTGTCCTTTCTTTCGGCCTCTGAGGATCAAGCTTTTAAGGAGACCGTCGCTTTCCGATGACGAAAGTCGAAGTCGAAGAAAGAAGAAGACGAGACGGACGTCTATGGGCGCGGTGCGTCGCGCAACCTCTTCAACTCGCTTCCGTGTCGACTTCTTGTATACCCGGCTTAATTAATTCCCCGGCTCTCTCGTGGTCCCGAGAATCTAGGACCGAGCACAGTTCAGTTTTTCTGACAGCGGTGGTATAACTTTTCCCTCGGCCGGAAAGTGGGGACGACGCGAACATGGTGGGGACCAATAGTTGGTGGGGGTATGCAGTGATTTTCACGGTAGCGCTGCGGAGAGCTTCGCGAACGCGCATGAGCACGCATGAGGGGAATAGTAGTGGGGATCGAAATATGGGCGAAAAACAGGGGAAGCGAGTCGTGCGGGAAAAATTATACCACCGCACTTTTTCATCGTTCTGCGCATCCGAATGCTTTACCGTGTGGAGGGAGTTCGCTGCGACCCCCACCACCTTCCAAGCTGCGCGAAACGGTCCTAAACTCTCGGGACCGCAAGTATAGAAGCACATGTTCACACGGACAGTGAGAGAGATGGTTAGTAGGCGATATGAAAGCACGCGAAATCAACGATGGTCGTTTTGCTCGGATGCTCGTACAGGAGATAACAAGACAGAGAGAGAGAGAGAGAGAGAGTCGGTGTTCGCTGTAACTCATACATAAATGCACTTTGAGAGCGGGTTCGCCTTCGAAAATGAAATATTCTTATTATTCTTCAACGCGCTCCGACGCATCGTTTTTATCGCAAACTCGAACTTGACTCGGCAAGCTGCTTACGATTGAGGTAATCCATGGTATAAGGCCCAATTCGCATCCAGTTCGAACTAACGCGTACTTAGCTTGTTGTGTGTCTGTGTGTCTTTTTTTTTTTCTTTACACCCTACTTGTAACGTATTTACGTACGATTCGTTATTCTGCTTAAAATTTTTTTTTTTTTTACTTTTTTTTTTACTGGTTAAGATTAACGCGCGAACACATTAGCAACCGGTCGGCATTTTTAACGACGATTCATCGTCATCTGGCGCGACAATTTCTCTAGCTACGACTACGTAACCGTATCGGCGTTAGGCACCAGATTTCTTGTCGTCTGATCATCGCGATCGCGCGGTGTCGAACGAGCAAAT